GAAAGAAAGAAAGAAAGAAAGAAAGAAAGAAAGAAAGAAAGAAAGAAGGAGGGAGTGAGGGGGAAGGGAGGGAGGAAGGGGAAGACAGGGCTGGAGCAAAGGGCAAAGCCTGTTGGGCAAGGGGAGAGAGTCACCAGTGTCAGGATATAAAAGGTTTACACCATGGCAGCTCACACAGACATTAAAAAATATTACAATAGGCTGTTTTGAATAACTTTTGACCAATAAATTCAACAACTTAGATGAAATGGATAAGTCCCTTGTAAAATACAAGTTATCCAAACTATCACTAGAATAAATAAGAAATCTGTTAAAGAGACTCAGTTTTTAATAAAAAAAATCTCACAAAGAAAACTCAGGCCCAGATGGTTTCATGAGTGCTGTGTTCTAAACATTCAAGAAGAAATAACAGCGGTCTTATATAACATAAACTGGGGGTTTTTAAAGCAAAGAAAACTTTTTTAGCTCACTTTATGAGGTCACAATAACCCCAGCACCAAAACATCACAAAACCATTACAAGAAAAGAAAACTGCGGGCTGAGTTCTCTCATAAACACAAAGATAATAGTATTGGCCATCAAGCATGTTTATCCAAGCTAGACATTTGTTTCAGTCTGTTTTGCTGAATCCATCTAATTTGTAGGTGCCCTGAGACACCTTCGACGACTCAAAGGATTCAAGAGTGTTAGGTGTTCTTCAAACTTGTGCATTGAGGATGCCTATACTGTTTCTGACGCCTCCAAGAACTCTATCTGCATCCCAGAATAAAAGCCATTAGAACTATTTTCTTGGATGAAACCCATCTTTTGGTCCCAAATTAAGAGAATAAAATGATCTCAGCCCAACTTGCTTTACACCATCTGTCTGCATGACGATTATCTGTTGACACAACTGAGAGCAATGAAGAGCATTCCTTATGGTAGGGGGATGAAAATTCACAATCACACATTAGGACACATTTGTATACAAGATATGTGTGTAACCACTTGGCACCACATCTTAATGACAAACTAACTTTATTAGAAAATCCACAGCAATGTACCATCTCAAGTTATTCTCATATAGTGAAATATTGGATCAAGAGATAGCAGTTCAATATTGCCTTTCATGTTTACCTTTTCAAATATTTTCATGTGCTATTTTATTAGTCTCAATACTCCTTAAATATGTCTACCTGGTGTGGTTCTGTTGGCAGATGCACCAGTCAGGCAAAACTACCAGTTACATACCTAGAGTATCAAGACACCCTGGTTATTTTCCTAAGGTGACCAAACATTTTAGATGAGTTTATGGATGGTTGGCTGTAGTTGCCACAGATTAAAGATTCTCAGAGCAGGATGCCTCAACCAGCAACATAAACTTTACATAAGAACTGGATAGAAACGTGAATGCTCTCGACCAGATCCATTACATTAGACTATGAGCAATTGGACCTTTAGCCTGTTCTGGGTGGTACAGTGTCCCCTAAAAGGTAAGAACCACTGAGGGTCAGTGTTATCTCCCTACCCTAACTGGGTGTCTTACAGCATGTATGCCACATGTGTGCCCCATATGTAATCCCTCCCTAAGACATAAGTGACAAAGAAACAAAGAAAAGCTATGGGAAACTCAAATGTTTCCATAATTTGACATCTTTAATGATAGAAAGTCGATTACAGTTGTTGAGTTTTGGCTGTGACATAGATAAAATCAAATGGGCTTAGATCTGATTTGTGGGTACCTCAGTGATAATACCCCCACCCCTGTTCACCGAAGGACCTTCTTGCCACACACGTGGGTTAGAGTGATGGACCATGCCTGACTATGCGTGCTCAGGACCAGCAGGAAGTCTGTTAAAAAAAAAAGACAGGCTCTAAAGTCTGTATTTGAAGCCTTCCACCTTCTTATTAGCAATGAGGCCTTGGATAAGTATCAATCTTATTGTTCTTTGATTTCCTCATATCTTTTTATTTAAGGAGCTGGGAGGATTAAGTGGAAGGGTATATGTATATATATCATGTAAAGTACATGAATGAATGGGTTGACTGAAACATATACTTATGCATAATATTCTTGGGCTAGAGCTTGGCATATAGTAAACAACCAATAAGTGTTAGCAATTGTTATTATAAGTTTTTATACTATTGAACCAGCAAATGTGGCCTATTCATAAGTTTCATCACTGAAATCTCAAATCTCTCTCTCTCTGTGTGTGTGTGTGTGTGTGTTCTGGTTAGCCTTAATTGTCAGCTTGACACAGCCTAGACTTGTCTAAAAAAGAAAGCCTTGCTTGAGGAGTTGCCTGGATCAGACTGGCATGTGGACATACCTTGGAGGATTATCTTGATATTACTAGACACAGGAGGGCCCACTCTAACACGGGTGGTCCCACCCCTGTGCAGACAGAACTAAGCTATATAAGAGAGCTGGCTGAGCATGAGCCTGTGAGTGAGCCAGCAAGCACCGGCCCTCTATGGTTTCTGCTTCAAGTTACTGCATAAGTTCCTGTCCTGAGTTCCCTTACCGATAACCTGGATGTGTTAGGGAAATAAATCCTTTCCTTCCCTGAGCTGCTTTCTGTTAAAATGTTTATCACAGCAGCAGAAAGGGAACCAGCACACTCCCCAACAGAGAGCAGCTGCCAGTAGCTCCTCAGTAAGGGCTGGGTCCTAGAGGGAATCCCCCAGTCTATGCCTGAATTTTTATTGGCTTGACCGTCTTCAGGTCTCTGAGAAATAACCAGAGCTACTATGAATCTACCTTCATTCTGTTGGACAATGGGAGCACCTTCTTTCCTGGGGTGTGGGGCACAGTCACCATGCACTTCCATGTTTACAGCTTCATGCCTTTTGACTAGAGATGTTCCAATTAAAACATTCAAAGGGAAGTGCTGGACTATGTGAGCCATTGCCTCCCTTGGGACAGATTTAGATGACAGGTAAGCGCTCCTGTCTACCCATTCACTATCCAAGCCGGCTGCATTCTCTACCTGGACCGTCGCTGAGAAATTATACCCTTGATGGTAACCCTGACAAATCTTCCCAAGCTGTCTGCTTCAAGTGATGTCACCAACCACACCAGTCCCCTCCTGCTGCTCGTCACACTGGCCGCTCCACATTCTGCTTCTTATTGAGGGTTCCATCTTTCACGGCGTTGGCTGAGTTTGACCTCAGGCTAAAAACAGGATATGTGTTTATTTTATCTGACAAAGTAGCCATGGCTGAAAGGCTTAGGGCTCTTGAGTATGTACTTTCTCCACGGCCCCCCAGATGGGACTGTAATTATAACTTAACTGTCTGGGTCTACCGTAAGGTGAGGAAAAGACACGTTAAGTCTGCACACGTTATTTGGCTGCCACTACCCACATCCCCTACTCCTTCCACATCTCATGTGCAACTGCCTTCTGTGGAAGGTGTGTGTGTGTGTGTGTGCGTGCGCGTGTGTGCGTGTGTGTGTGTGTGTGTGTGCGCGCGCGCATGCATGTGTGCGTGTGTGTGTGTGTGTGTGTGTGTGCACGCACGCACATTTCACAACGTTTATACAAAAACCAAACACCTGGGTTAAGATTTTCCTAAAGGAGTCATCTGAAGTAGGTACTTCATGCCAAAATGTCACAAAGATTTATGTGCTTTCATTTGTGCATTAAATTGAGGACAGGTGGAGAACGTTCTAGCCTGAGAAAAACTGATCGCTCCTTTCTCCCTTAGAAGAGAGGTGGCTGTTATGACTACTGCTGCTTTCGATAAAAAAAGAAAGAAAGAAAAAAGAAAAAAAAACAAGAGAGAGGGCTCATGCTTGAAAAGTAGTGTTACAATAGCCCTCTAATTATTTCTGCGATCAAATTTCTCAGAAATGGGAACCCCATACTGGCATCTCACGGTGAGTCCTTGCTCAGGCACAGCAGGTAATCCTGGACCCACAGAGCCAATAAAAAGCTAGACCTTTTTTCAGGCCCATGGGTAAGGCCTCCGGGACCTCCACACAGTCTACTGAAAGTCTTGCAAAGGAGTCAGTTACACATATGTAACCACTCGCTTTTTAATTTGGTTCTTGTTTCAGACACCTTTCTAGGACCCAATATGTCTAAGAATTGTCATCACTTGGTGGGTCGCTACTCTACGCCCGTTTGGCATGAAACCGGCCTTTCCACGTGCTGAATCTTCGCCCGCAGGAAGAGTGTGAATGCGCATGTCAGAAAGGGAGGCCTGGTCAGAAGTCCAGAGAGTGCCAGGCTTTTAACAAAGGAAAAGGAAAGCTAACTGTGGAAAGCTGGGTGGGCACACTCCCTTGCTTGTCAGAGATATGTTGCAAACATTGAAATCGTTCTGTACATTTTATCCCGCTAAGGCGCAAGCAGAGCTTCTGAATCAGATATTTACAAACCAATGGCCGTGTTATGAAAGCTAGAATCTGATGCACTGAAAGCAGAGCCATGTTGACACGGAGGAGTCAAGAATGTCCAGTTGGTTCTTGCTACTGTATGATATCACTCAATTCTAAGCTCAAGAAGGAAATGTGAAATCTCCTTATGACTCCTGGTCTTTTTTTGTGTTAGGCAGTTAAAACAGTTGACATTATACTATCTCCCTCACAATGGTTTTTAAAAGGATGCTTCGAATGAGAGCCCTAACATACAGTCACCCATCTCCGTTGTTTCTATTTATTGGGGGTATAGCTGATGTCAACATACAAACAATTGCTTCAAAAAGTCAGCGGATGGATGGGCAATGCGGTACCCTCTCATGGGCACTAAATAAGTAGGGCGCCTAGTGGAGGGGTCAGCTCCATTCACGCTTGACTCTCTCACCAGCAGCATCTCCCTGGATGCACACACAGGTCTCTCCATGGAGGTTTCTTCCCCTCGGATGACTCTGGCTTGTGTCAGGTTGTTAACCAGCACAAAGAAATTGTCAAGTGTTCCTGAGTATCTCCACCCACAGCTCCACAATGGCCAGTAGGTCCCAAACACCTACCACCATCAGAATATTTGAATGACAGAAAATTCTATGGCTTTGGAGGGCATTTTCCTTTCTATGGTAGTACCAGAAATACCCTGGCCCCAATCTCTGGAGCATTGAGCGAGCCTCATTCCCTGTCGTTGGCAACAAACCCTACAATGACTTCAGGTAATTAAAACAAGAACTGAGCTAGCACTGGCTCTGACTCCCACACACAGCAACCCCTCCAGTCTGCTCTCATCAGTAAGGTATTGGGATATAGAGACATGGTTTATGTTGATGCTGTTGTCAGTGGTGGTGGTAGTGATGATGACGGTGAGGTAGGTGTCTGTTTATGATCATAGAACAGTAAAGAGCGGAACTAGAACTCAAATGACACCACTTAGCCATGAGACAATCTACACCTCATAAATAGCCATGTGTACATGTTACCTTGGAGACCTTGAGCAGTGTTTCCGTTTCTCCTACCGATATGAATCTGTACCCAGAAACACTGGAAATGCTTCCACACAGTTGATGGAACCCAAGTTTGAGAAGGAAGCTGAAGGGCTGAGAGGTTCGGGTAGGCAGTCATTGAAGGCACTTTCTTCTTCATCCACCATCAACATAACATGGGACCGAGAGACTGCATGAGTAGGGTCTACCTAGGATACACAGATGGGAAGAAAGTTCAAGAAGGCATTCAGCTATAACTGGAGGATCTAGAATGGTACAGTCAATGGTTGCTGCCCACATAGGCATGCAATAGTTGTTCCTGGTGGGAACTCAATGTTTCTGTCTAGTCCACCTTCACACCAGTATCTGACAGTGGGCATTAAAGTTTGCCAACCAGGCAAACCTGTTCCTGCAAATCCCTGACCCCGTCCATATAGAACAGAGTCAAACCTCCACCAGCAGGTGCAGCACTATAAATCCTTCCTCCTGGGAAGAAGGTATTCTCTGTTTGTGCACAGAGCACTAGGCATAAACTGCTTGACTATAAGGGGCATATTTTTCAAACAAGAGCATTTTCAGGTAGCATAAAGGCCTTCAACGTAGGTAGACACTTATACAAACAAATTCACCAGGAACAAGGCTAGAAAATGAATCATAGGATTTCCATGTCCCATCTCATGCCAAGGTGTCCAGAATAAAAGGGGCTGACCTGGGTGGGTGTGGTTCCACTTGGCCAAGAGAAGCATCTATAGAAAAGGATTCCTCTCTTCTGCACTCGAGCTGGGCTGGTGTTTATTAGACATTTTGGGATGCTGCACCAGCCAGGAAGATGTCTAATTGGTCAGAGACCAAGTTCTTTTTCTCCCAGATACAAAAGTTATCACAGTCTTATGGAGCTACACACACACACACACACACACACACACACACACACACACACAAACATTCACCTACACCTCCATCATTACAGCACAGGCATTGTTTGGGGCTCCCTAGAGAGAATGGAGCATTTATTTATCCTCTGAAGCCTGGCTCAAGTCCCGTCTCCTCTGGGCAGACTCTGATTTTCTTCAAACAGACACCTCCCCACCCCCGCTTCACCTTCTGTCTTCCCTTTCCTTACACTCTGCCTTTTATTACTGTTGATTGAAGACCCGATGTCCCAGCTGGGAGAGCAGAGCAGGGTGGGGAAGCTGGGAAGCTCATAGATCTTAATGGTTCCAGCTTTACAAAGTATCAGAGTATAGCCTTTCACGAGGTCAATACCCATCAAATGTTTCCCTAGAAAATAACCCATAAATGAATGAGGCCATGAAGTCGCACATTCGGGATAAAGGCATGTAAGATGCTTTACTCTGAGGAGTTCGTGTGCTCAACCCACTGCTATCTGTAGCCTCTAGGCTCTCCTTCCAGCCCCTTACCCCCACCCTTCACGGTTTGAAAAGCAGGAACGTCACTAAATGGGAAGAAATGATGAAACTTAGAACTTGAAATTTACTGCCCTCAAGATGGGAGGCCTTGAGTCAAAAGCCTACAGATGCAGTTTTGTTTTCTCTTTACAGAATAAGCAATACAAATGCTGTCTTACGCTCCCCTACCCCCGACACAGCTTGAATATGGTTAGTGTACCCAGAGGGTCCACTGTGCCTGATAGCTTGGTCCACAAGGAATAGGACTGGTGACGCCATTATGAGGTGTGGCCTCATAGGAAGGCTCTGCCATAAAGGATATAACTTCTTTATGTGACCATTTGGGTTCTCTCATAAGACCCAGAATGGAAGTCATCCTGACTACACCTAACCTTTATCAAGGATGTGACCTTGAATGTAACTACTTGTGAAGTCACAAAGTCAAGTCATTCTGTCTCCCTTCTTCCTGCTTCCTGTCCCTCTCCCGCTTGCTCAGCATCCCTTCCTTCTTTCCTTTCTGATTGTAGAGACACAGGATCAAGCTGGTCACCAACTCGCTAAGTAGCCATGGGTGACCTTGAACTTCTGATCCTTCTGTCACTACCTGTCAAGTGCCAGAATTACAGGTGTGCAGAACTGTATTCAGTTTTGCGGTGGTTATGATCAAGTCCAGGACCCCACGACTGCTTAGTCGAACCCTCCAAGAAAACTACATTCTCGGCCCTTCATCATAATTTTATTACAACTTTCTAAGCTCCCCAATTACCTAATTTTTATAACAGAAAACAGCCTCTTCTCTGTTGATGCTTTCCAGGGAATAGAATTTCTTTACTACTTCCTCTAGGGAAGGCCAAGCGCTAGGGGTAACCCAGCCTTTAGTGGATGTAGCCTAGACAGAGCAGTCCTGGGACCTTGAGAGTCAGTCTCAGTTTAAGGTCAAGAGGTCTCTAGATCAGCCTTGCATACTAGCCCCTGCTGCTCATACCTTCCCAGCCCACTGTTATCCTTCCATGATCTTTCCGGCTTCCCCTTTCTCCCTCTCTGACCTCCCCATCCTCTCTTTCCCCCTCTATGACCTTTCCAGCCTGCTTATTTCCCTCTCTATGCATCCCCCATAGACACTTAATGAATCCCCCAACCACTCAGCTTACCAAGATCTAGTCCACCGCTAGCAGCTGACTCTGTAACCAGGAAGTGTTTGCAGAGGAAATGTTCTGTGACACTCTGGTGGCACACACCTGACATGCTTTCAACCACGGCAAGAAAGAGTATGACAATAAGTGGAAACCCCACATCTTCCAGCGCACAGCCGTGCCTTCCGGAGAAGACGTTTTCTGCCAGTCTGAACGTAGTTACTCGTTAGGCTACCTGCCTAACTTGGTAGGTGTTTCCTTCTAACAGCTTAAGAGCTGGCTCCAGAGAAAACACTTCTCGCGGCTCAAGAGCTACTTCTGCTGTTTTCTCAAGGACAAGAAGCTTCCACATCGTGTGGCCATGCTCCAGTCCATTCACTGAAGATAATTGTTTTGTTTCCTAATGAGCCATACTTTCTCACTCGGTCCTCTGGGGAAAGCTCGATTACTATGACTTAACTACCTTTTGGGGGATATTGAAAATGACTCCATTCAGTTGGCTCTCACTGGGTAAAGTAGCCAAATCCAAGCTTCAGAGCTCCAACCCAAATATCTCTCTCTCTCTCTCTCTCTCTCTCTCTCTCTCTCTCTCTCTCGGTTCTTATTATACACATAATTACATGTGATTTACGGTGACGCACAAAATTTCCGGAAATAAAAACAGAAATCTTTGCTCAATATTTTATTCAATCCAGAAAAAATATACACAGGCAACAGACAGATGTCACCAACATGGGATGGGTGAGGTTGGAAAATGTTTGCTAAATAAGGACATCTTCTCTGTCTCCCAAATTTCATAAAGGATGGGGACTCAGGTTAGGCCTCGGCCATGGCCAGGAATGAAAAGGAAGCTCACAGCGGCCCCAGGGTCTTTTCTGTTGCTATTCTAGTGATTCTGTGGCTCAAACCTCCTGCAGTCAGAGCTCCACTGAAGAGCAAGCTGGAGGTTATGAGCCAGATGGGGACCAAATCATGGAGGATCTTACAGAAAAATGCAAGATAAGCAACACAGTAAAAATTTCGGCAGGTATTCAGTGTCCTAGGGCCGAAGGATCCACACCTCAGCACTGGGCCTCTGGGGAAGGTAGAGGTGGGCCTCTGGGGATGGTAGGGTATGTGTACCTTCTATCTGTGGGAGCTAAGTGTTTTAGATCCCCTTGACTTGATTGTAGGTAGTAATGAGCTTTCTCTAAAGCAGGTACTGGGGAGCAAACTTAGGCCCTCTTTAATAACAGTGTATGTTTTTAGCCACTAAGCCATCTTTCCAGTCTCATTATTTTTGATTTCTTAAGGCCATTTATGCAGAATGGTTTGGTGAGTCTGTCTCTACACTGGAATGTAAGGATCAAGAAGCCAGCAGCCATCTTCCTATCTTCTTCAATATGATGTCATTAGCATCCAAACAGTGCCTGACACAGGTGTGAATGAGCTAATGGGCGAATGGATACCCATCTCCCATGACAGTAGCTTCTGAGACTGCCCAGGGCTACACTCTGGCATACACCCTACCATAAGGAACCAGCATACACCTGCATCTCAAAACAACATAGCCATGCGCCATCACCACAGAGTCCTCTGGCCTGTGGTAATCCTGTACTTTTGCCCTCTGGGAACCTATTCTACTGAAATAATAATAATAATAATAATAATAATAATAATAATAATAATAATAAGGCTTCACCTATGTACCTGTGATCAGTGAACTTGTTTGGTGGGAGTTTCTCTTGAGCTACATCAGCCTATTTTCCCTTTACAGGTAAGATGAGGAGGGAAAAAAAACAATGATGAAGGAAAACGTTAGAAAATATCGTGACTCACCCCCTCAGGCTGGAAGCTACATTCAGTTCCACTGTGCCCACGCAACACATGAAAACACAAAGATCAACCTTCCAAGACTGTTTCCAAGGCTTGTTTGGGTGTCTGTCCTACCCGGTTCCCCAATGCCACAAGTCCCAGACAAAATCAACCACACAGATCTCTATAAGTTATAATGCTGACTGGCCCATTAGATCAGGCTTCTTACTGGCTAACTCTCACATCTTCATTAACCAATTTTTCTGATCTATTTTAGCCATGTGGCTCAGTGCCTTTTTCAGTGGGGCAGCTCACATCCTGCTGCATCGGTGATCTGGGCAGGAGTGGGGGAATCAGCTTCCTCCTCCCCAGAATTCTCTTGCAATCCTTGCATCATTTCCACTTCCTGTCTGGTTTTCCCGCCTACACCTCCTGCCTGGCCAATCAGCATTTATTTAAAACATGATTGACAGATTACAGTCAATTCTCCCATACCAAGCATCAAGTAGCCATCATAGTGTCTAGAATAATCGTAGTTAACGAAGGAGTTTGAAATATCTAATTGCAAATCACAGTTCTGTCACTGGCCAGCTGTCTCGTCACAGGTAAATGGTTCCTGTCCTTGCTGCTGTCATTGTAGCTAATGGTTTCCATCCTCAAAAAACTCCAGGAAAATTTTTCTTCAAATTGCATATCTGGAAAGTGAGGCATGGCTTGGAATAAGAGATGGATGGAACTCCTAATAAATACCTTAGCACCCACTCTCTGAATCAACTTCAAGTGAGGACCCTAACACACCTGGCAGAAACAACACATTCCAACAATGGCTAGGATTATAAACACTAATAATAATTTTATATAATATA